TGTACTTCTTGGCCCTGGAAGGCAGTGGGGGGGAGATGCTGGGGGTCCCTGGCTGCCCTGCACCGGGCGGGGGGGTGTCTGCGGCAGCAGCACTGACCGTCGGAGCGCATCGACGTGCTGTGCCCCCGAAAACTCGTCCACCTGCCCCTGCGGGACCATCTTCTCCAGCCACAGCAGGTACTGGATGACGGCCACCGCGTCCCGGACCTGGGGGTGGCCCAGCGAGAGGCATCAGCACCCCCCTCCCCCCCGCCCCCCCCCCCCCCCCCCGGCTTACGGTTTTTACTTTCTAATTAATTCCAACTGTGTTCTGAATAATGAGCGGCCCAGAAGTGTAGAGGGTGACTCACTAGTTCTGCTCCTTACCGCAGAAAAACAGCCACCCCCAAACCAAAAACAAGCCGGAGGAACTCTAGTGAAGAAGCCACCTGTTAATTAAGCTGCATTCACGCTTTTCAGCTGAAAGATTAATTATGTACTGGTAACTTGAGGTAAACCGACCTTAAACTTCCCATGGCCGTTGCAGATAGGGGTACCCTAACAATTCCTGACATAGAGAAAATGGCCTCATTTTGCTGTGGGAGCCCACTAGCATTCATAAAAAATAATGTTGAAATCCCTCAGTGGTGTTTGGTCTGGTGTACAGGTCTGTCTGGGAGGCACTTCCAGCTGGGAAGGACAGACGGCTTTTGTCAATGTCGCTACTGAAAAATACCTTTTTTTTTTTTTTTCCTTCAGTGCTCTTCCTTATCTCTGATCTGGAGGTTCAAGGTTGGAGGGGCTGTACCCAGCCCCGTCTGCTTTACCTTCACCATTTGCACAGAAAAGCAGACATTCTCTGAAATTCTCTGAAACATTGCCTAATATTTGCATTTCAGGTGGAATCTTGAGCCTCCCAAAAGCCTGACAGTACGTGGTTGTAGAAAGCAAGACCAGCTGTGCACGGATAGAATCCATGCTCGTATTAGGCCAATGCAATAAAAATCTTGCGGTAGAAATACAGCATTACAGAATATTTCCGATAGTAAACATTTAACCTCTTCACAAGGGTTTAACTAGATGTGATGGTAACTAGAACGGGCAAGTTGCAAAGGAAATAAAAAACCTACCTCCCTCTCCCCTGGCTACCCACGCTCAAAAGCATCCATGGCTCTGACCTCCCAGCCCTCTTAGGGATTTCTGCAGGAGTTTTAATTGAGTTTGAAGTATACAGTGACTCTATCAGAATCACTATCAGAGCAAATCCTTGTGAGAGGTGACATCTATGACAAAAACATTAAAAGGAGCCTTTTGTGTAGGGGCTCTGCAGAAACCTAATAAACCACAAAACCAAGCAACAGGCGTTAAAGCGTTTTCATCATTGTTCTCAAGGCATTGGCTGTGGAACAACTTGGATCATCAAACACATCATGTCTTCATGGAAAAAACAGGGAAATAATATCTTCTCGGAGCACAAATAATGCGATATTAAAAAAAATGCCATGCATTATTTTTTTTTCTGAATCACTGCATTATTAGGGTTTTCTTTTCCTTTTTACTGTACGCTGATTTTCTAAACAGTGGGGGGAAAAAGCCACATAAATATTTAAGATAAGTAAATCATTTAACTTCCAACTGCTTTCCTTTTCTCAGCATATATTAAATTTTATGGTTAATGTGTTTCTGTGCTAAGGGAACCTTTGGCCTTGGAGAAATGTGCCTCTGGGCTGCTCACGCTCCAGGATCTCCTGCCAAGGACCGGTGACCTGGGGCTTGGTGACACACAAACACTAGCCAGTGCCATCTGCCCAGCCCACTCACTCTGCCTCCCAAACCCGCTGCCTCCTGGTCTCCAGATTGCCCCGTCCTCTTTATGAGATCAAATCTCCAGAGACCAATTTCTCGGACTGCAAAATAATCTTGAAAAACGCTCCTTTTTGTTCCACCGAGCACATTCTGCAGGGCAGCCCCGCACACCACAGCCAGGTATAGATGACGTAGAATGCACTGTGAGACGGAGGGGGACTTAAAATAAAAAGAGAAAACCTCTTTCCCTCTGTAGATTTGCAGCAGTGCAGTAATTTGCTGCCTGCAGCAGCAGCACTGAACTGCTTTGGCTAGTTACAGCTCCTTCGCCCGGGGTGAAAGCAGTAACTACCTGGCAGCCAGAGAGAAGCCCTGGTAATAAAAGTGCTGAAGGACAGGCTCATTTCTTTTGCCTCATTTGAGTGGTTGAGAGCAGCTGTCCTCTGTGTCTCACTAGCTTCCAGCAGTAGGGAATATTTGCAGAGTCACCTTGAGCTACTGCTGAGCTCCCAAAATTTGGGCACGCATTTTCTGATATGCTGACAATTGATGTGTGCAGCAGAGCAAGGGCTGCAGATCCACTACAGCTTGGTGAGTCCGTTTAAACCACGAAGGGAGACGTCACTCTAAATCTGAGATGGATTTTGCTGAGTTTACTGGTTTTAATCCCTGATTATCACAAGTGACAGAAAGGAATTGTAGCCATGAATCCTAATTTATATAGAAGCACCCAGAACTTTAGCCTTTATTTCTCAAAAACGTTTATGTTGGCAACCCTGATTTGCAGTAGAATATTTTTATCATTTTGAGAAGAAACAACCAGGTTGTGAACCTACATGTTGGATCTGGACTGCAGGTAGTCATAGAGCCGCCTACAGCAACAATGAGTGAGCCTGTCTGCCTGGCAGTGTCCATGACATCCCTTTGAGGAGCTGACGTGCAATAAGGACTACATCTGGAAAGCACAGCATGTGCTTGATCTGAGAAGAACATCTCTACACATGGAGATGTGGCCAGTAAAGCATCTTCGTATGCTGCTCACCATGGTATTTTGCGTGGCTCTTAAGAGTGCTCTCTAGGAGAAGTGTTAAAAATGGGGCTTAGACGATGACTAAGCTGGTTTTGTACAAAGATAATGAATTCTTTGCTACAAAGATCCCTTGTGTTAATATGATAATCCAAATCCGAGGCATGGTCCTGAACACCTTTCTACCACAGCCAGCCACAAACAATGCTCTCAACAATTAATTCCTGGTGGTGGTATGAAATCAGACAGCCTTGCTTATCTGTATCTATAGCCATTTATTTCGTTATCCAAACACATAATGACAACATAATGCTCACCACAATTAATAGTACACAAGTATCATTAGTATCATAAGATGATACAGTCCACAGTTTGGAAGCCAGCAGCACTTGGAGATATTCTTATGTACATGTTAATTCTTAGCCTTTCCTTTCTAAATTTGCACATGCTACAGAATTGCTTTTAATAGCAGATATGCAGGGGAGGTCAAGACACTTAGAGCAGGTGTCCATTAGTAGCAGACATTTTTGACAATATTCCACTTTTTCTTTTCATCTTCGTTTTTTTTTTCTTATGTCTCCCTTATTTCTGAGCATATAAGGACTATACTCTGTGTTCATGTCTGTCTCTTGATCCTTTTGTGCTGTAGGAATACACAAGATGGAAAAGCTTCACTTATTGTAATAATAAAGTAATATTTTATTGCTACACTAACAACATTGTGACAAGTTGTTTCCAAGTACAGCTTTGCATTGCATCAGAAAAAAATATTTCTTTTTTCTCCCCTGTTTTGAGTAACTGTCTGGTTCTGTATAGAACACAGACATTAATAAGTCTGTAGAAGACAGCTCACAAGACAAATAAATGGCCATGTACACGGATTTAAAAATATATCTCTAGATTTGAGGCTGGCATTATGTTAAATGAAAACAACTGCATTGTTAAGCTGCGCTGTGTAATTATAACTCCATTTAATTGCTTACCTGCACCACATGCCTCTTGTGCTCTCCCTCCATTATCAACTACATGAATTATTGAAAAAAGAAAATAAGGTTTTCAAACACGTCTGGCAAAAGTTTGCGTTTAGGGCAAGAGTACATTGTCCTCAACCCCCCCACTTGCCTGGCAAAACAAATATGTTTGCGTTTAGGGCAAGAGTACATTGTCCTCAACCCCCCCACTGAACAGCTGTTCTCAAACACATACTTTCCAGAGTAAAATTTTACCATTAACCTGTCCCTAAGAAATGCTTGTCAGAAGACAGTATTTTTCCCTTCCAAAAATTAAAAAGTGGTGAAGGATTTTATTTTGAAGTTATGTATTAAGAAAAACTTGTTTGCAAACTGAACTTTAGTTGCAGCAATTTAAAGATACAAAAAACCTTTCAAATAACTTTTTCTCCAAAAAAGCTTGTAGAAAAGATGCACCACTGTGCCCAGCAGAAACCTATTTGAGCATTGGACTAGTGCTATAAGAAGAGAAATACTGTTTAGAGATTTAGTATCTCCTGCAGCATCTGGACTTCTTGGGGAATCCTTTCAGGCACCAGTTTTGCTCCAGCTCCTGCTCAGTTGGTGGGAACCCCGGCACGGTCTCTCCTCAGAGCAGGCTCAGACTTTTACTGAGAACTGAAGGAAACCCAGACCCTCCTTCAGGCTGAAGATTAATGATTGCCCTGGTGAGTTCCCAGAGATTTCTGCCCACTGCAGATTTAGTGCCCTGAGGCTGCACTCCTGCTGGTCTCACCTCTTGCAAGAAAAGGACATGGATGCTGTTCACATTTTTAGGTGAGAGATTTTTCTCTGCCAGACTCACAGCCCCAGGTCAGAGTCCTGAGGAATAACTAGTATTTTTGAACACTTACAGTTTGAAGAGGTAGCAGTATCCGAAGCCCCACTGTAAAGAAACAGCGATGAATGTTAGTGCCTTGTAAAACACAAATCACATCTTGTTAATAATGAAATAAGAGACATAGATCTGACCTCCTCTTTTGAGATGAAGGACCACCTTCTAGACTCTGCTTGGATCTCCTTGAGACCAAAGCAGAGGAACTCAGGATACATGGTCCTTACATGAGCAGCTGCTGGAGAAATTTGCAGGGAACATTTTCTAAGTAAAGAAAAGGATTTACCTGTTCCATATAATTTGGTTGATGAGTGCACCTAAGAAAGATGGAGAAGAATGTTTTACAAAGCTGGCAAAGCGTTCAAGTTTGGGAATTGGTACTGTGCCTCTGGATCTCATAATCGGGGACAAACTAGGTGGGGATGGGGTAGGCAAACCAAGAGGACGTTTCTTGAAAGCATGATTGAGCACCTGAAGACTCAGGAGGTAGGTGGGAGCAGGAGACCACGTCAGAGAGAGGAGAAGCTGGCCTTATGCTGGTTTAGGAGCAGACCTCTTCCTTGTTATCCCAGAAACAGTCTTTCTGCCCACTTTGCCCTCCCCTCTCCAGCACCCCCAAGATCCCATCCAAATCCTCATCAGCCCCATCAGCCCAGAGCTCTGAACCCCATGGCTCATTGTTTTCCACTCGGGGCCAGTGGCACCAGGGTCAGGGCAGGTCACTCACTCTGCACATCTTTCTGCAGCGAGGCCAGGTGACTCATGAATTTCCACATCAGGCTTTGGTAGTGGTCGATCCAGGACTGATCCAGCAGCACTCCCACCACGTTCACCTTGCTGACGCTGAAATTCTGACTCGCAATCCTAGGGTGCAGGCAGTCATTTCACCAAGGAAAACCATTCGATATTAGAAAGTTAACATACTCCTTCCTTAGGAAGGGCTCTACAGCGATGTGAAGAGGTAAACAGAGGTAAACAGCTCTCTGGTAAAGTTAAGGGAGTTGCAATTGTTATATTTTGCTATTTATTTGGTGGTGCCTTTGGCTTACCAAACCTGGATGGTAACTTTCAAATGCTGAAAATGAGAAAGGGAGAGCCGTTTTGCTAATACCCTTGTGTGAATAGTGCTTTGTCCTAAGGCAGGCTCTTACTGTTATAGCACAACCGCCGTCATGATAGAAAGAAAATGCCAAACATATTAAATGGTGTCCAGGCTTCTGGAAAATGACTTTGATCCCACAGGCTAGAGTTTGACTTGCGGCACAGCTGTGAGTAATGGACTGTGCTGCTGCCAGCACAGCCCTTAGGTACATGGTGATTCAAAGTTATCTTTACAATCCAAGTTCAAACTCAGCTTTAATTTGTACAAGTTGCAGAGATGACATCTTAAAATCCACCTAGATGTTTGAGCTAGCCCTTCATGTGCCTGGGGAGTTTGGTGCTGCAGCAAAATCTCTTGTGGATCTGTAACTTACTGGTGGTTTTGCACCGTTAAATTACTGCTGACACCCAGGTGTCAATTAGGAAGTGGTAAGTTATAAATGAAACATATCACTTGCAAGAGAAGGGATAATAAATCTGTCTAGCGATTGAGCTTGTCCACAAGAAGAAGCAAAAATCATTGGGAAATGAGCCAGTTACCTCTGCAGTCAGAGGCTCTTCACTGGGGCTTCTTCACTGGGACTTAGACTGCTGCAGGAATATCACCAATATGCATCCAAGAGAGTGTTAGCTGTAAACTGAACCCCATAGGCTTCACGTCTGACAAAAATGTTTTTCTGGTATAAAAGCCAGTGGTTTTCACTAGAATCGAGCAAATGTGAAGCTGCCAAAGAAACTGAAACTTAAAGGGATCTGGAAGAGCAGGCAGGTATCTCTCCATCCTTAACTGTGTGGACGTGGTGCCCTCTGGCCCGGCTGGAACAGGGAGCAGCTTTGCAGTGTAGGGTGCTGGGACAGAGGGGAGCAGCCAGTGGGGTTTGATCCCATTTATCAACACCATATTTTTTCAAAGAAGAAAACAAGTGTTTTCAGCTGGAACGTACCTGTCCCTGGCGAGTTTAAATTCCTAGAAATAGAATTGCCAAAAAAAAAAAGAGAAAAAAAATTGTTAGTGATTTCCAGAAAGGGCAGCTGGCTGAGAAACAGGCATATTCATGAAGAAAAGCAGAATGACACTGCTTACTTTGAGGAAGAGGAAAATATCTGGTTGCTCTCTCATCGTCTGCAAAGACTGAAGATGCTGCGCAGCCTCATCTCTCCTCTGTTCCATTTTCTGCTTCACTTTGGTAATGTCTGCCAGTTGTTTTTTCTCATTGGATTGAATGTCACTCAGGATCATCTTCTCTTTCTGAATCAGCTCAGTCTCCATCTCTTCAAACAGCTTTCGCACCTGAGAAGTCACTGCTTTTGTATTGGTCTAAATGAACAGATAAGAAAATTGTGCACTAGCTTAGAAACTCAACACTTCATCTTAGCATCTCTGTTTATTAATTAGGAATGTATCTATCCTTTACACTGGCTTTAGAAAGAAGTGGACAATAAGCATTTGCTTATTGTATATCTGATTAACCAGAGGGTTATGAAAATTAATCCTGATACAGTAACAAAATCAGATAAAATTCAGCTAGCAATGTGAGAACTGTATCAGTACTCGCTGAAAATCCCACATGTAGACTCGGTCTGTTTTTCTCTTATTTAACAGATAGAAAACTTTAAAAATACATAATGACATGTACAATCTGTGGTATGCCAGTCCTGCAATTTGGTCTGTGCAGACACAATAAATGGTGGAGTCTTTCAGCTAGTTTCTCCTATGGAGCTATGCTGGGAGGCTGTGAGAAAGCTTGGCTTCTGGCAGTTTCTTCCACCAGTGTGTTCCCTACTTTGGACCACAGCTCTTTCTATTAATCTCCTTCTAACAGTATAATTGCCATCATTTATTTCTGGAAAACTGTGGAGGAAAGCTGCTGTGAATGAGCAATGGGCTGGGCACCAACCTTCAGCTGATTCTCGCTTTTCTGAAGCTCTTCTAGGGCGATAGCTAAAGCATTTTTACGTTCCTGCAGCCACGTCACAGTGTCCGAGAGCTCACCCTAGCAGACGGAAAGACAGCATTGAACTTCATAGCAGGGAAGCAGCACAGGGAGCTTTAAACCAGACTGGCAGTTTGTGGAGCTGGTGAAATGACACAGGCTCCTTCTACCTGCCTGCTTTCACCAGTGAGGCCTATAATGAACTGTTCACTCACCTCCTCATAAAGATAAGGCATAACAGAAAACTGATACCATCTTGATATATAAAAATAGGACATTGACTCAAAGGATATGTGTAACTTTGTATGTGGTAGGTTAATAAACAACTTTCCCTTTGAATAAGTTAATTTCACTTCAAATGAATAAATCTCACTTTATCCATTAAAGCTCTGTTCCTGTGCCAGAATCTTCACATGTGCCCAGTGTGATCCAAATCCTTAGTTTTCCCATCTGTCAGCAGCTGTGGGATCTGAGGATAAGGTAATAAGCAACCATCTTTTCTGAAGATCAGTGAAATAGCGGTACTTGCTCACCCAGCTGTTTATTTTAACAGATAGCACAATGATTGAGTGCTGTTATACCACATGATAACACATTTCAGAGGGGATATTAAACCTCATCCTTCAGGGACTAGACAGTCTCTGAATGGTTCTGGTTGCTCCTGGCTGCCTCCAGCAGTGTTTTCACACCTCGAGCACCCATGAATGGCCATGACAGACACAGCTGCTGGATTCCTGTTTCTTTAACAAAAAATGATGCCAGAAAGCTTCGGTTTTCCATGAGATATTTGTCACAGCTGGAAAGTTTTAATTTTTGAAAAATTACAAGACAAATAATCAAATTTGTCCAAGATTCCTTGCACCAAAACTCTTTAATAATTTCTCCTGAAGAGCAGCATTCCTGATTTCCATGGCTATCTTGGGGAGTTGTTTGTGGGTTTTTTTTTAAAAAAAAAAAGGCAAAAACAAACCCCAAGAGGAACATGCAGCTGAGCTCTCAGCTTATGCATGGAGATAGCTTCCCCACAGACAGGGCAGTGTAGCTCCATCACCAGCTCTAGGGATGAAGGAAGGATGGCTACCGTCCTACACAGCCCAATTCTGTTTGGCAGCCCTGAATTTTTTTTATAGGCAACTTGGGGGAGAAAGTTAATTTGAGATACATACAACTGGAAAGGATGCTTCCTGTCCTGAGGTCCAGAGCCAGCCAGGCGTTCCCTGCCCACGCACTGGGTTGCTGCAGAGTGTTCTGCTTGCGCTCTAAATCGAGCCCAGAAATTTCAAATGCAAGGCAGTGAGTGAGCATAGCAAATACATTTTATCCCCTCAGTCTCAGCATGTTCTGGATCATTTCAAGGACAGCAGCTGGACTCAAAGGCAGGGTCTCTGTGCCAGCAGGGACAATGGCTGGATGGCTGGGCAACCCTTAGAGCAGAGGGAAGAGGGAGATGGAGAGAAGGGCCTTCAGTGGGAAAACCTGTTTCCCAACCCAAAGTTCAGCAGTGGTAGTTCCCCCAAGGAGGAAGCAATTTCTTAATCTCTGCAGGAATACTTAATCCCAGCCAGGAGGATCCTGGTGACTGGCAGTTTGCAGTTGCCCAGGGCTGCACATAAGGGCCATGGGCACGTGGGTCAGCGGTGTGGGCTCATTCCTCCACACGGCAACACGCTCCCGCTCAGCCCCAACACCTCTCCCTGCTCTTCTCCCTCTGCTTAGCCTGCCAGGCAGCTTTGGCAACACCAAGGAGGAAAGGAAAAGCAAATTCCAGCACACAGGTCCCCTCTGGGGTGGACACGAAATCCCCTGAGCCCCGCCATCCCCATGACAGGCTGAGAGCTTGCTGGGGCTGTTCAGCCTGGAGAAGAGAAGGCTCCGGGGAGACCTTCCAGTCCCTAAAAGGGGGCTACAGGAGAGATGGAGAGGGACTTGTTATCAGGGAGCGTAGTGACAGGACGAGGGGTAACGGTTCTAAACTGAAAGAGGGGAGATTTAGACTAGATATTAGGAAGAAATTTTTCATTATGAGGGTGGTGAGACACTGGAACGGGTTGACTGGGGAAGTTGTGGATGCCCCATCCCTGGAGGTGTTCAAGGCCAGGCTGGATGGGGCTTTGAGCAACCTGGTCTAGTGGGAGGTGTCCCTGTCCATGGCAGAGGGGTTGGAACTTGATGATCTTTAAGGTCCCTTCCAACCCAATCCATTCTCCGATTCCCTGCTGAAAGCCTTAGTGTGGCTTCCTCCAGGTCAGGAAGGAGTTTGGGGCAAACCCTGCAGGGGCCTTGGGGAGAGGAGAGGAGCCCTTACCAGCTGTCTGTCGTGTACCTCCTTCAGGGTGACCACGCTGTGGCCCTTGTGGCCCCCAGTGATGCAGCAGAGGACGCAGATGTACTCCCCCTCGTCCTGGCAGTAGCACTCCAGCAGCCGGCCGTGCTCTGAGCACCTCCTCTCCTCCGCCGCGCCACCTGCGCCCACCTCCACCAGGATGTGGTACCGCTGGGAAGCCTTGGCGTTGTGTTTGTTCAGGTGGGCCTGGCACAAAGACGCGTCGCAGATCAGGCAGGTTTTCACCGCTGGCTGGCACCAATCCAGGCAGAAGTCACAGGGAACCACCTCCTTCTCCCCTTCTGCAGCCCCCTTGCCCTGTTGCCCTTGGGAAGAGGTGGCCAGAAACGCCTCCACGATGCTGCTCAGCTGGAAATTCTTCTGCAGCTCCAGGATGGGCCCCAGCTGGAGCTTGCACATGGGGCAGGAGTAAGGGGCCTTGGATTGCTGCTGGGCCCCCAGTGCCTTCTGGATGCACTGCTTGCAGAAGCTGTGACCGCAGATGAGCGACACGGGGTTCCTGTACAGACACAGGCAGATGGGACAGCTGAGTTCATCCTGCAGGCTGGCACAGCCTCCAGGCCCTTCCTCAGCTTTTGCCATGGCCGCAGACACGGCCTGTTTCTGAGAAGCGAAACTGAAAGGAGGCCCTTGGCATCCTGCCCCGGCGGGAGATCCGGTCCAGAGGCTGGGAGTCCTTCCTCCCAGCCCAGCCTCGCAAACGGCTCGTGTGGGCCGGGGCGGCCATTTTCAGATGTTTGCCCTCTGTCTCGGGCAGCATCGCTCCACGTGTGAGGCTGGTGGGAACAGGGGGTGCTGGGGAGGGAACGAGAGGGACAATTCTCCGAGAGGTCTCTTCCCTCCTGGAAAAATAATCTTCAATCACATGCCAAGGCAGCAAAATAGAGATAAACCCTGGATGAGAAGAGTATCAGCCTGGCTGGGATAAGCCAGCAATTCCCTCTCCTTTGGTTCTTTTCCATGACAGTTACAGGTGCTCCCCTGAAGGTAAAACAGGGAGGACCCAGGGGAAAGTTTTACTGGGACACGGTGAGGCTGGTCTCCTACCTGCAGCCAGCTGACAGGGACATGGGGACTGGGGGAAAGGCTCCTGGAAAGGCACTCGAGGATAGGAATATCCCTGTGCCACGTCTCCAGCCTTGCTTACCTCGCTTTGTCCCCCAAGACCGGGCAGGGCAGCAGCCACTGCAGGTGCAGTTAGGAAACCCACCTCTATCTGCATGGTTTTCCGTATCATTTTGCTGTATAAAATGCAAAAGACAAAACACAGCCTCTTTCTTCTAAGACTGAATAAAGATTTCTTTTAGCATAGGGAAAACTGTAGTGTCCCTCAAGGTCCTTCACTGCTCCTGCTGGGGGAGAGGGCTCCTGCCTGGGCTGCTTCGTGCACATACCCTGGCTCTGTCTGAAGGCAGCAGAACCACAGGCAGGAGTCATGAATCTCTTTTCTGCTTTTTTTGCTGCTTTTTTTAATCTCTTCCTCTCCAAGGTGTTTGGACAATCCTAAGAACAAATTAATCCAGGCCCCATGATGGCAGAGATTAAAAGCACAGGAGTTTTGCTCTTTCTTACTCCCTTTGCTGTGAGATTTTTGCACCGGTGAGGAGAAAACTGAAGACGAAGCAGGAAGTCAGTAAGTGATGTATCAGAGAGCTCACAAGGGAACAAAGCAGCAGAGATCAGGGGAAACCAAGGGTCTTACCACCTAGTCTCAGCCCACCTCCCCGGCCAGCTTCACTTCTGCAACGGGCGGCTTCGGTTGTGCAGGATGGGCAAATGACAAACTGATGCCTTAGAGCAAAGGCCAGCGTTGCTGCTGCTTAGCTCTCTAGCAGTTATTGTGCTGTCAACTTTTTTTATCAACAAAGTTGCCACCGAGTTTTGCAATCTCTATTATTTTAATAACATGCAACCAACACAACATTTGATACAGCCGAACAAAAAGTGCAACTTAATGGTATCTCTACGGTGATTAACAGAACAAATAAGACAGGAGCTCTCGCAGTAAGCAGCAGGGCACTGTGATATAACCCACAGGGCCGAGCCCTCACACTGGTGAGCCATCACAGCAGCCCAAACCCAGTTTCTAATATGCCAGCTGAGCACAGCCTCCACCCAGTAGCAGTCCCAATACCTGAGCCTGGAAATACAAAACAGCACCTTGTCGCCCCATCACTACAGGAGTTTCAAAGAGCCATCAGTTGTACCAAAGGTAGCACGGACAGGATACTTTGAAGGGATGCTTACTCTCTCAATAAGCCTGAGGCTCTCAGCAGCACCTCCTGTCTTGACAGATGCGTTATAAAATGACAGGGTGTTTCTTCCGCAGTCTAGCTCTACCCTGACCAACGTGAGGGCTGCAGGAGACTGCTTTTTTGTGATCTCTATTTGACCAAGGAACACGTGGAGGTACTCCTGAGACTTTTCCAGGTAGCACTTGACGTTGCCATGAATGATTCCGAGCTCCCAGTGCGTCGCCTTGCTGGTGTCCACCTCCCAGAAGTGACAGCCCTCCGAGAAGCTCTGGTCACTCTCGCTGTGTTGGGTGGCACTGGTGCTTCTAAACCCTGCTGCCACAAATGGAGATTGAAAATGCATGTGTTGGGTGCCACTGGGGTTTGAAAACGGTGGGGACCCGATACCGAAATTAAAGGCTGGGACTGAAGTGTAACTCCGCGGGTGCTGGAAAGAACTGTGTGTGGGAGCATAGACTACATTGCTACTCTGATTTAATCCACTCACTGGAAGAGTCAGATGTTCATGAACTATAGAAAGGAAAAAAAGCACATTATGATTAACAGACAATTGTGCAGATTTGCATACATTCCCATTGCTGGAAGCTAGATTTCTCAATCCCAAGTCATCCTATCCAAGTCCACCCCACCCAAGTCATTAAAAGCGTACGTTAACTGAAACATCTTCTGCACCTCTCTTAGCTGCTCCTCTGTAATTCTACAGGGGATTGATATCGCCTTTCAAGAAATGCTGTTCTTTCGCAATCTTAAAGTGTCTTTTTGCTTTTTGTTTCCAACTGCAGCAATTCTGAGATTTTAGTTTTCCATCGTTATTCTGCAGAGCTTCATTAGGTATTTTTAAAAGCCTCCCAGATTAACTTCCATGTACAAGAAATGTGTGAACAGTAGCACCACCATTTTATAAAAGCTTATTTGCTCGGGATCATTTGAAGTTATTTTCTAGAACTCTCAAAACTTCCCAGCACGGCCAGTCACAACAAGTTCATTCTACACTCAGGAATTTGCAGAATGTTTTTATTCAAACCTCCTCTTGTAGGTAATGCACTTCAATATTGTGGCATTTTCTGCTCTGGAAGTTACTCCTTTGGGAAACTGGAACAGCGGCAGTGGCCCCGGCAACCAACCCAAGTTGCTCAGTTGGCACGCATAACCAGGAAAACATGGGTCTGAGGCTTTCTAGCCAGAATATGCCTGGAGTATGCTTACAGGGATGGCAGAGACTGAGCTCGGGAGCGGCCATGAGCACGGTGTGCTTCTTACTGGACCCAAGGCTGTATGGGTGGTGGCCGGCCAATAAGGTGTGCACATCACACACTGTCACACACACTCTGCACAGAGCTTCCCATCCCAGCTGTCTCTCAGTCTTGTCCCTTGGCTCACTCTCGGTAAGGGCTCAAGCACCATCAAGACAGCAGTAACAAGGGAACCCTAATTTTTTCGGTTCAGTTGGACAAGCATCCCACCGTGCACAGCACCAGCACTGTAGGTTGATCTTACCAAATATTACAAAAGAGTAGAATTATTTACCTACGAAGAGCAGATTGTTTACATCCCAAGACAAATTCCACCTGCCACTGCTGTGATGAGTCCTCAACTTTCCCTGTACTTTGAATCAAAGTGATGCTGCTAGAGACAGAAGGGGTGTTGCTATTCTCTGCTCGTAATCCTCCCAGAAAACTCCTAGGACATCCACACCTCTTTACCCTGAGCCCATTTTAACAGGCCTATGCCAGAGCACTGAAACCCGAAACAAGCACCCTTTTATATACACATCTCTGAAAATATACATACAACGTTAGCAATCAGTTCTTCTAGAGGCACTTGGTGTCTTATTACAGTCCTTTCTGAAATACGTTTTGTTAGCTTCTCCATCTTGCTCGTCATGCAGTGAAACAACCACTTACCGGGTGGTGCATTAAATACGGACTGCATGTGTGAGAGGAATTGCTGGAAAAGCCTTAAAGTAGTGTCTCTTGTTAATTCATCCAAAATAATGGGTGGCATTGGCAGCTGTACATCAGCTATGTAATGCACAGGTGTGCATTTCCTAAGACACACAGAAAGACATCAGAAGAGCAGCAAGTCAGCAGAAAACCATCCCTAAGCCCATCCCTGAGCCAACAACTGCATCCCCCACTCCATACCCAGCCTCTATGGGAGACACAAAAAGCAGCTTCTGTCCCCCTTCCCTCTGCACTTCTACTGGGATCTTCCCCTCTGACTGTTTTTCTCCCAGAACCCCAAATCCCTTCAACATCGTTAGGATAAGGTGCACTCCAGGAACAATGCCTGTCCCCTGAAGATCTTGTTTGAGCCCCCTCGGCCCCAGCTGTTGCCAGGACAGACCCAAGCATCACAGCTGTGGTTACAACAGCAGGAGCTGAAGCAGTGTCAGGGGACGTTTCTGCTCCTGCTACATTTGCTTCTTACAAGCGGAAGGCAATGCAAAGTGGAGGATGACTCGGGGTATCTCAGCTCATCCATCCTTTGCATGGCCATCCAAGGACCTAAATATTCAGGGATGGGGGTTGGACTAGATGATCTCCAGCCCCGCAACTCTCCCTTCCAACCTCTACAATTCTGTGCGAATTGCCCTCAGAATGGGTCTCAGGGTGGGGAGGGCACAGAAAAATAAGCCATGTTGTCTATAAAGAGTCACACGTGAGTTCTGTTAAGATTCTGGGGCTTCTCCAGGTCTCGGAGTGTGCTGTCAGCGTGCCCACGGGGCGGCTGGGTGAGCCCAGGGAGCTGGGGGCCTGCAGTGCGTGCAGGCTGGGCTAGCAGTCACCTGAAGCAACATGAAATGCAACAGCAGACCACGGCAGGAAGAGCTTACCTGGCTGGAATTGTTGCAAAAGCCTGCAAAAGACATTGTGGAAGTACAATTAACGTAGCGCCGGCAAAGGCCAGCCCAAGGGCTGAGTATCTCTGGGAAAGGGAGAGGCTCTTAGGTACCTTGGTGAAAAGCAGTTGGTCTTTCTGATTCCTCAGAGCTTCTAGTTTCTGTACATCACGGCAGGCTGCATCCTTCTCCTCTTTGTGTTTTTGTATGTGCGTCTGGATCTGAGAAAGCTGTTGCGCCTCGTTGACACGGAAAACTTCCAGGACCTCCTCTTTTCTGTCATCCAGCTGCAGACGCATCTTTTCGAAGAGGCTCTCCAGCCGAGTCCTCCTCAGGCTCTCCTTAGTCTAACACAAAAACACTTTCAAAGCCATTAGGGGATGAATCTGACATTTTCCTAGATGCTAACTCTCACTCAGAAAAGAGCCTGGTCTTTTCTGGGCTGAGAGAAGTAACTATTAACTTTGTGTTTCTCCATATGGCAACAAACCAAGATGTCCCACTGACAGCAGAAAGGCCAAGTGACCTAAGTGGCCTTCCGCTTAGGCACCTGACCAGAAAAAGACAAAAAAGTAGTACTTCTTGCCCAATGCTTGCTTAAGAGTTTCCACTATGCATGTATTTCCTTATTCTGCACTGGTATTTTTCTACTGATACATTTGGTCCTTTTAAAGATGGGTGAGGAAAAACAGTTTCTGTGCTTCCCGCCTCCACCAAGCTTCCTTCACTGTCTGGAAGCAGCCGCGCTGCCAGGCAGGGCACTGCCAACAGGTACGGATTTGTCTCCAGGCCAGGAGGGAACCCTTCCTTTGCCTAGTGCCAGGACTTCTGATTCCATCACTTTTAATGGTGAAGGAGGGCAAGTGCCAATTCTGCATAAGCAGAGTGAACCATGATTTGGAGACCTGTGCTAAATTCTGCACTTTCCGAGCTTTCAAGTAGGCATTTGCATGCTGGGAGCAAAAAGCCAGACACTTTGGAGCATCTTCTTAGAACCACAGGCTCACCTAAAGGGATTTCTTGTTGTAAAGAAGAATAAACTCCCTATGACATCGTCTGTATCTTTTCCATAAATATTTTAGAGTCTGCAAATTGAATATAGTTGGGGAAACAAAGGCCCATCACCACCCACCAATCAGGAGGCATGGCCTTAACAGCAACTTTCAAGTTCTAAGGTCCTTTGGAAACTAAGAATGTATTTCCTAGACTGATAAGCAAGTTGTTCATCCACCTCCCACAAAGAAGAAACCTAGAAGATATCTGAGAAATGACCCTGGAACTAAAAAAAGCTTCAGAATCCATGATATGGGAAAGGACAAAAGCAAATCTTATCCTATCAACTACCAGCTTGCTACCATCCCCAAAGTGATGTGGGACCTTGGAACAAACCAACCTTTACTTCCTTCTCCTGTTTCTCCAGGTTTGCTATGATTTGGTCCAGCGCAGCTTTTTCTGTTTTCACGGTTTCCAGAATTTTACCTAAAGCACTCTATAAAAATAACCAGGGAGAGATATCAGGAGAGGATCAACATACGTGCACAAGATCAGGAACTTGATGGAAATGGGTTAAACTCGACCTGCAAAAAGTTTGTTCACTGTGTGCTCCCAGAAAGGCTTACTGGATGATTTTATCCCCGAGCAAATACCACAATTGCGAACCCAGGAAATATGTTTTGAAACTGAAAACTCTTTGTGCACAAACGCCACACATAAAGCTACTTTTGGTGCCGACAGCTTCCTTTCCGTTACTTCCGTTTCTTGCCATAAATGCGGCTCAGGCTCATGTCCTGGCCTGAAAGTGCACCGAGGAGTAAAAGTACAGCCACAAGCGCTCAGTCCCTCCATTCTGTCTCCTCAGTTTGGGAAGAAAGTGTTTGTAACATCTTGCTTGATACCCTGCGGGGCAAGGTTGGAGGGAATCTGGGGCAAAACTAGGAATAAAAGCCCAATATCCCAAGCTGGACGTTTAACCCCACCCTGAGTTTGTAGATGGGAAACCAGGGAGATGTTTCACCCCCGTGCTGTGAGCAGCTCTCCACGCCACAGACCCCCCCCCGCCCCTGCCGTGGTTGTCCTAGAGCAATCTGTGCCCAGGCCACTGTCCTGCAGCCTCTTACCTGCCCCTGGGCAAAAGCCTCCTCCAAAGTGATGACCTCATGGTTCTTGTGGGAGCTGGTGATGCAGCAGAGCATGCAGATGCAGACCAAGTCTGTCTTGCAGTAGCACTCCAGCACTTTACCATGCTGGGGGCATCTCATCTCAGCCAAAGCCTGAGCATCGCAGGACTCCACCAGAACATGGTCTTTCAGGGAACTCTTTGAGCTGTGCTTGCTCAGGTGGGCTTGGCAGAAGGAGGCCTCGCAGGTCAGGCAGGTCTTCACGGCCGGCTGGGGCTCCTGGAGGCAGAAGTCACACAGGACGACCTCGTCCCGCTGGCCCGAGCCTTCCTCCATCTCTCGGCGTTGCCTTTTCCGCTCCTCCTCCTCCTCTTGGTCATCCAAGAACTTCTGCACGATGCTGCGGAGCTGGACGTTGGGCTGCAGCTGGGCGGCGGGGTCGGTGCGGGCACCGCAGAGCGGGCAGCCGAAGGGGCCCTGGGAGCACCGCCGCTGGACCCTGGCCTCCTGGATGCAGCCCCGGCAGAAGCTGTGACCGCAGCTCAGCGACACGGGGGTGCTGTAAATCCCCAGGCAGATGGGGCACGTCAGCTCCTCCTCCAGCCCGGCCACCGCGCCCACCCGGGCCATGGCGCCGAAGGGAGGGGACTCCCCGGGACGAGAAACGAAACCAGCTGCGGAGGGGGCGGTTCCGGGCGGGGACCCACCGCCTCCACCCCCGGCCGGCAGAGCTCTGCCCCCCGGCACCCCCCGCCCCGGGGAGCCCACCCACCCGCCTCAAAGCGGGGAACCCAGCGCCTGCTCCCCCTGCGACTCTTCTCTGTCCCAGCCCTCGGGGAGGGGTTTCCCGAGGTTGCTGTGATAAAACTGATACGAGCCAGAAAAACGAACTGATGGAGCCGGACTCTTTTCAGGGGTTCCCAGGGACAGGATGAGGGGCAACGGGCACAAGCTGGGACATGGGAAGTTCCATTCAAATACGAGGGAGAACTTCTTCACGGTGAGGGTGGCAGAGCCCTGGAACAGGCTGCCCAGGGAGGGTGTGGAGTCCCCTTCTCTGGAGATCTTCAAGCCCTGCCTGGATGCCATCCTGAGTGATGTGCTCTGGGCGACCCTGCTTTGGCAGGGGAGCTGGACTAGATGATCTCTAGAGGTCCCTTCCTAGAGGTCCCCCTGCCTCCCCTGCCCAGCTCCAGACCTTTCTATGGACCCTCACCCCTGGCGCAAGGGGGGTCCCACCAAGCCGGTGGAGCCCAGGGCAGCTGTGGTCTCAGCTGGGCAGATGTGGGCAGGGCCACGCTGCCCTCGCTGCCCCCGAACCGCCACGCTGCCCTCGCTGCCCCCGAACCACCACGCTGCCAGCATTGCCAGTGCTGCCCACGCTGCTGCCAGGCGCCAGCCAGCCAAGGGCAGCAGCAAAACCTGTCCCTATTCATAAAAACCCATTATTGACTGATTGTCCCCTCCTCCAAGGCGCGGTGGGCCTCACACAGGACGTAACACCACCTCTCTCCACTCCGGCGGCTGCAGCGCAGCCATATAAGCTACTGCAAAAGCAGCGCTCTCTGTCTGAAAAGAAGCTGATTTATCACAAAGTTATGCCCAAATGAAAACGGTTGCATTGTTTTGTTGTTTGGTGTGCTTGTTTTTTTTTCCAAATTACTGTAACTGATTGCTGGGACTAAAGGAGATCCTGAACTGATGTCGTGGTTCACCAACAGCTCCCTTGAGTTTGCTCGCAGGGTAACACTGGATGAGCAGCACCAGTCCTTCGTTTTCCAGAGAGCTGCCTGGGAATGCAGGGCTGGGAGGCGCAGGCCAGGCTGGGAGGAGAAACCTCAGCTGTGGGTCTGTCCCTCCCTGCAGACCCTCCCTTCGTGTGTCCCCGCTCCGTCCTGCAGCCCAGCCAGATGGAGACCCTGCTCCTGTGCCCCTGCTCCCGCTTGCTCCCACCCTGGACACCCCAACACTGACTGCCCCAGCTGCATCCCGGCATTTCCTCCCTGGAATTCCATGTTTTGCTCTGTCCTGGCACTGGCAGCGTCAATGTGCCCTGATGTAACTTAGAAAAAATATTCCTGTTTGGCGGCCCTGAAGGCTGTTTATTAGGAAAGCAGCAGGGAAATGGGTTTCCCGGCTCCTCCCACCAGTTCTACACTCAGGCTGCAGCAGTTGCAGGGACAAGGCTGGGTTTGGGGTGGGAGGCTGGTTCTGGCTCTGTGGCTGGGAGCTAAGGGGACCCATACTGGGCTCCCACAGGCTGTACCGGAGACGGGCAGATCTAGGGCTGCTGCCTAAATCGGTGCAAATTGGCAGAAAAAAAAACCCAGCCAGGACAGCTCAGACCTTGCAGACCTCCTCCCTTCAGGCTGCTGAGGGCCCCCCACCCAGCAGCATCACCCCGCCGTGCTCTGGATGAATGTAGTGCAACGCCTCCGAGCTGGCAGCCCTCGCAGGGGTGATGGCCACCGCTGGGCCCACGCTGCCACCGACTGCCTGGGCTCTCCATCCCCTGCCTTCCACAGCCGGGGATGACAGCCAGGACACCAGGACACCCTGCGCTGGGACACAGGTTTGGCCACCCAGGCCGTGCCTCTGGGAGAGCAGGCTGGCTCCGGGGGACTGCTCTCCCGGTACCGAGGGGCTATCCAGGAGCCATCCTGAGCCCTATGGCTGCTGCATCACCATCTGGAGTCTTTTCCACACTTTTTCTTGCAATCCAGCCCTCCGCTCTCTTACTCCCACACCAGGAAACTTGAGGTGCGTGCCCCACTTCATATTTAACCCCCCCCTAACCCAGTCCAGGGGGTTTCTTAAGCGAGGGGTCTTGCGGCAGTGGCACCGCTCCCCAAGTCCCCAGTATGGATTCCAGGCTTTTCCTGCACACGTTAAACTGGGAGAAGCCACACTTAAAACCACAATATTTGGGAAGATTCCCTGACTTGAGCCGCATCCCTGGCAGTGGTGCAGTGTTGGTGTGAACGAGCTGGGGGGCTCTGCCACCCCCCCAGCCCTGGCCGTGCCCCCACCATAAGGCAACAAAAGTCAACTTAAGTTTACTTCATAAAGTATTAGCGGCACAGACTTGTTCCTTTTTTTCTCTTTCCACTTTATAGTATATATGTTATCGTTTATTTATAGGCAGATCACTTCACTATTTACAGTACATGAGCGTAGAGATTCTACAGTCTTTTTGATGTAAACAAGTAACTCCGCGGCAGGGGAGTCTGGAAAAAGAAGCCAGTTCTGAAGTATTTACACAATTTAAAATAGAACTTTTATACCCACCGGATAGATATAGATAATACATTGAGCGATTTGGTTAAATTATCTATGAAACTATAGAATCTGACAATGTAAAAATACAAGAAAACGTTCTCTTGTTTTAGAAGGTAGACAGTTAAATCACACTAGAAATAAATCTCTTTTTTAAAAATAATAACAATAATAATAAAGGAAAGGCATAAGAATCCATGCCATCTCTTAAGGTTAAAGTATATTACATAAATAAGGACACAACGGAACGGAACTGGGGAAAAAATTAAGTGAAATATAAAAAACCACTACCAATTAAAAAAAAACAGACTAAAAACTTGATTCTTAATCACAGAGGGTCCAATTCTGCTGCTTTTACTTACTCTGCAAGTAGAAAATTGCAGAGTTAAGTAGTACTTCCTCGGTGTGAGGAAGGGAGGCAGAACTGGCCCCTAATAATTATTAGCAGTGTCCTTTTACTTAAAAAAAAAAAAAAAAGAAGAAAAAGACAGAATTTAGCTTTTTTTTAATATAAATAACAAAGCAGATGTGCCCCTTTCTAGGTGAAATTCTTACACCTTTCTCAAGAAATGCATCAATTTAATCTTTCTCTCTCTTTCTCACAGGCATACATACAATCCCTCCCCAGCTCAGCATTCGCCGCGCGGTGGCCCTCGGCTCGGAGCTGTGGCCGTGGGCACTGCGGCCAGGCTGCCACCGCCACCCCTGACCCCAGGGTGGGCGAGGAAAGAGGAATGAAACCCAAAGGCTGCATTTGGCTCGATATTGCTTGAGATTGTCGGGGATGGACCTCGGCGCTTAGAACAGAAAGGGTGTCAGGGCTCAGCTACAAACAACGATGTATCTCAGTTTTCAGCATATCTCCAGAAAAAAAAGGAAAAGAAAAAAAAAACAAACTCAGAAAAAAAAAAAAAGAAAAAAGAAAAAAAGAAAAAGTGCTGGTCTGCAATTGCAATGCTCCTTTGCATGGACCAGTGCTGAAATCAGACACTCAAGACTGTAATGTGGTGACTGAGCTGCCGCTTCGTTAAAGAAGATGTCCAGCCCAGCCAGCTGCGCTGAGTAGGAATCGGGATAAACCTTTTCTTCGGGTCAGTGTCAAACCTAAAACCCGGGATTGTCCTCTGCATTCAGCCTAGACACTCAGAAACATTCGCTCCTTCCCGCGGAGCCCCAGGGACCCGCTGGGTTCCAGCCAGAAACCCGGTACCCCACCCTGAACAATGAGCTTTTCTGGGGCAAATCTGTGCAAAAAAGGCAAAGGGGCATTTTATCACGAAACTCTTCACATTCAGTATTTCCCCACAGTACCTGCAGGAAACTACCGGGGCACATTCTATAGTTATATGTTTTTAAAAAAATAAATCTCCTCCTTACTTATTGCCTACCGTAATATACCCTTTTGCTCCCCGTTTCTCTTTGAAGCAGTGCTCCTACCGGCCCCCAGCCCCGGCCCTCACAGGCGGCGGGGGGGGGGTTTCCTAGGGTGCACGGGTTCCCTTTTCGGGGTGCCCAGTGCTAAGCTGCACCCACGCCGGGGCACCCGCTGCGATGCCACAGGCTGAGACTGTAAAGCTAATCCTGGGGGCTGGTGATCCCTGCTCCCTGACAGCTCTGGGGGTGAGGGACCTGCGGAGCCCGGTGCTTCCCTGGCAGGGCTGGCTGCTGCTCCCCATGGGGTGCTTGGGAATCACTTTGCTCCTGCCCTGCTTCCCCGTTAGCATCCCAAAGTCATGGGGGGCTGAGGGAGGGAGCTCTCACCTGCCCTTTCTGCCCGAGCCCTCCTTCCTGCACCTTTGCAGGCTCGAGCACTGCGAGCTAAAGACACCTTTATATTTAAGAAAAAAAAAAAAAAATCAAGTGGAAACTTATTTTTCACCACAAACCCTGTGTGAGGGATTCTAAACCCAGCAGAGCTGTGCTTCTTGATCTGAACACCCCCCCCACCCTCACCCAGTCCTAAAAGTCAGGGGACTCCCCGAGGCAGCAGCACATGGCCCCAGGGGAGCACAGTGTGCCCCCGGGGCTGGCAGCACGTGTCCCCTGCTTTTCCCTGCTGTGGCAGGCACAGGGCAGGCACAGGCAGGGGCACAGGGCTGCCCCAGCCACAGCTGTGCCTCTGTGCCCTGCACACCTCTGCTCATAGTGCATAAGTCCAGGAAAAATTTCTTGGGGGAGGAGGGAAAACAAACCATCCCAATTCAAAGGAGAAAAAAAAAAAAAAAAAAAAAAAAACCCACCTTTGCAGGCTCGAGCACTGCGAGCTAAAGACACCTTTATATTTAAGAAAAAAAAAAAAAAATCAAGTGGAAACTTATTTTTCACCACAAACCCTGTGTGAGGGATTCTAAACCCAGCAGAGCTGTGCTTCTTGATCTGAACACCCCCCCCACCCTCACCCAGTCCTAAAAGTCAGGGGACTCCCCGAGGCAGCAGCACATGGCCCCAGGGGAGCACAGTGTGCCCCCGGGGCTGGCAGCACGTGTCCCCTGCTTTTCCCTGCTGTGGCAGGCACAGGGCAGGCACAGGCAGGGGCACAGGGCTGCCCCAGCCACAGCTGTGCCTCTGTGCCCTGCACACCTCTGCTCATAGTGCATAAGTCCAGGAAAAATTTCTTGGGGGAGGAGGGAAAACAAACCATCCCAATTCAAAGGAGAAAAAAAAAAAAAAAAAAGAAAGAACCCCAAACCAACAAATAAAATAAAAACACCCAACCCCACTTATAGGCTTCAGGCACCACGAAGACCACTTATTGCATCTCTTCCTACCCTAGGGGTGCAGTACTGATGGGCTCTGTGCAGCCCTCCCCTTCCCAGCACCGGCCTCCACATCCAGAAGCCGGGCAGGGGCAGGGGCTGTGGGCCGGCCCGGGGCACCCAGCCGCAGGAAAACAATGAGAAATTTTCTATCTGGGTAGATGGAAACCACTGCTTGGGAAGCGACTGAGTGATCCCCCAGGAGAGGGCTCCCCCAGGCTCCAGAGCCCCTCAGCTCTGCACTAACCCTCCCCTCTGCCACGCTTGATGCATCCCTGGCAGTGCCCGGCCGCGGGGGCTCGGTGCCCCCGGCTGAGCGGGAGATGGAAGAATTCCACCTTGCTTTTTTTTTCTTGGTTGTTTTTTTTTTTTTTTTGGATTGATCGTTTTCTGAAAAACATCAGCACAGCACAGGACAGTACTACCCACCCTAAATGTGTCGCTATATACATTCTACATAAGCTCTATAGCAATCACATGTAAACATCATCGTTGTGAGGAAATACTAGGACAGAAAAAGGCAAAGCTACAATGAGGCAGTTGCCAATAGCAGATGCTCAGTCTCGGCCAGAGCTGCTTGTGTTTGCTAAGGTGGGATGAGAAGTGGGGGGAGCGTGTGGCAGGAGAGAGGCCGAACCTTGCTGCTGAGACGGACGTGGCACAAGGACTGGTCCTCGACAGTGATCGTCACCGGCGGCAGATCGGGGACCTGCGGTTTGAACCCTGCGGTGGCCCACGGGCCCTCGCACCGCCGGGCTGGTTATCGTCAGAACCATGGCTTCCCCAAAATCGGGGAGAAACAGGCAGGTGACTGTGCTGGTATCGGCAATGCCGGCATCCCTGCTCCCACCGGAGACCAGCTGCAGACACGGCCCCGGAGCCAGGGGCCACCTCGGCAGGGCTCAGGCTCTTGGCATCCCATCTCCTGCCATTCTCCTGCAGACGAAATTGCATCCATGCCAGGGAAATGAGAATAAAACCCCTAAATCGTGAAGAGGGAAGACCCCAGGAGACTCTAATCTATCTATTGGCAGAGTTAAGGCTATAATATTCTATCTACATCGGATGGCTGAATCCCTAGTGGTCTCTGGGTCTGAAAAATAAAGGGAGACGATGGTGATGGCTTGAGGAGCAGCAAGATTCCCGCTCCCTTGGGAAAATGGTGCCTCTGGGCCGGCTCGTGGTGGGGTTTGCTCCAGCTGGTGGTGGGCTCTCTCCTCCTCCCACCTTGTCTGGAGATGGAGGTCAAGTTTACAAGCCTGTTTCAGGGGGGTGCTGCTTGAGCGTGCCTTAAATCCAGCACTGCCAGGCAGCCCCGAGGCCTTTGGCCAGAGGCAGAGCGGGACAGCGTGCCAGGGGAGCACGGGGGACGGATCCTGGGTGCCAAGCGGGCGCTGGGAAGTGTATGGCTTATCAGGTACCGGGCAGGGTGGTGGGTGAGCCGTGCCCCCCCCGCCTCCCTGCCTCTCTGGGCTTTGGGCTGGCTACCGGGCAGTGATCATGGACGGGTCTTCTCGCCCCACTTGCTTTGCAGGGGGTGGACGGGAGCAAACTGCTCAACCTGTCCAGTCTCCCAGCCACCTGAGGAGCCAGAGAGAAGGCAGCTCCCTTGCAGAGACCCGGAGGTCCCCGTCCCCCAAGACCCACCAGATCAAGCCTGGCTGGCTCCAGCTCCCCGACCCTTCTCTCCTGGCCCCGAGGGCACTGGAGGGCTGGAGCAGTGCTGGCTGGTCACCATCGGTCCCGCACCCCCCGGGCAGCCCATCCTTCTTACCACCCCTCTCCTTCACGCCGGCCAAGCTGCCTGGCCCCACAGCGAGAACGGCATGGGGCTGGCGTGCCCCACCGCCTGCTGGTTCCATCACCCACCGCCACCGAGCTCAGCATCTGGGTGCCACCACCCAGCCGGGATGGGGGCTAGGGGGCTCAGGCCATGGGGGCAAGAAGAATGGCTTTGACAGGAAAGTGGGCGATCCCGACGCGACCGCTGAGCACCCCAGTTTGCCGGCGGGGGAGGCGGGTCCCCCTGCGGCCCCTGGGTGAATGCCGGCTCAGTGACTCTGCTCTGACCCCCCATTTGCTGAGTGGCAAATGCCTCATTACAGTGCATAGTTAAAAATCAAGGAAGCGGTACAATAAATCTGAATTACAGTACATCTGAGCCATAAATACATTTTTTTAAGTATATACTTTTTTTTTTTTTCTCTTCTATTAAAAATTAGTTTATAATCCTGATTCTATTCACAATTAACAATTTCATCATCACACACTACGGACAAAAAAATGTTATGGTGAACACAGCTGCAACTCCGCGGCGGGAGCACGGGGCTGGG